CTCTGTCTCTGTCTCTGTCTCTCTCTGTCTCTGTCTCCTCTGTCTCTGTCTCTCTCTCTCTCTCTCTCTCTCTCTCTCTCTCTCTCTCTCTCTCTCTCTCTCTCTCTCTTTCTCACTCATTCCCTTATTCACTCACTCACACATCTGGTAACAAAAATCGAATAACAGGCGCGTAGACATACAAGGGGAAGGAGATGGGGATGGGAGGAGGGGAAAGAGAGAGTGAGCTATATCCTCCCTCTCCCCTCTCCCCTTCCCCCCCTTCTTATCAGCACCCATTCTTTCCCTTCTTCCATCTCTCCTCCCCCTCTCCTCTCCCATCTCTCCTTCTTTCCCCTTCCTCCCCTTCTCTCTCCCATCTCCCTCTTTTCCCCCCCCCCTCTCTCCTCTCTTTCCCATCTCTTTCTCCCCCCCCCTCCTCCCTCTCCCTCTCTCTCCCATCTCCCATCTCCCTCTCTCTCCCATCTCCCTTCCCCCCCCCCCTCTCTCTCTCTCTCTCTCCCCTCATCTCCCTCGCCCCTTCGTAGCTCAAGACGATATTCTAATTCTGGGAGTTGGCGGCCATAATAAAGATCATGCTTGGGGGGGGGGAGGATGGGAGGGGGGGAGGAGGGGGAGGGGGGAATTCGCCTCGTTTCTCGGCTCGGTTTTACTGCGCCTTGAAGACATTCGGGTGCCAGGGGGAGGTGGAGGAGGTGGAGGAGGTAAGTGGAGGTGGAGGAGGTGGAGAGGTAAAGGGGAGGAAGCAGAGGCGGAGCGAGGTGGAGGCGGGAGGTGGAAGTGGGAGGTGGAGGAGGAGGTAAAGGTGGAGAGGGAGGTGGAGAGAGGGGCAGGACGAGGAGGAGGTGGAGGAGGTGGAGGGTGGGGAGGGGAGGGGAGGAGGAGGGGGAGGTAAAGGTGGAGGGGAGGTGGAGGAGGAGCCCTTTCATCCTTCTCCTTCAAGCACCTTTCCCAATCAACTTTTTTCTCTTCGACCTTTATCTCCTTTTTTCTTATCTTCCTTCTTCTTCTTTTCTCCTCCTCCTTCCTCCTCCCCCTCCTCCCCCTTCCCCTCCACCTCCACCTCCACCTCCTCCACCTCCACCTCCTCATCCTCCTCCCCCTCCCCTCCTCTCCTCCTCCCTCCTCCTCCTCCTCCTCCTCCTCCTCCTCCTCCTCCCTCTCTCCCTGCCTCCTCCTCGACCGTGGGGAAGTTCCCTCCGCCCCCGAATGAGGCTTTTGTCGCCCCAACCCCCCGCCGCCCTCGTCTCCTCTCACGACCTCATGCATCACAATTTCGAGACCTCCTCCCCCCCCCTCATCGTATCGACAGGGCTGCAACACCATCATCATCACCGTGAAACACCGCAGCCTTGCAATCCTCGATGCAACACCGGAGCCGTCTTTAACCGTGCAACCCCATGCAATAACATACATCATGCAACCCTCATGCAACACCAGATTCGTGTAAATCTCAAGCAACACCAGCCCATAACAACCCTCAATTAACACCAAATTCATATAACCCTCATTCAACACCATCGTACAACCCTCCAGCAACACCATATTCATACAACCTTCAAGCAACACCAGCCCCATGCAATACCAGATTCGCACAACCTCAAACAACACCAGTCCCACACAACCCTCAAGCAACACCAGATTCGTGCAATCATGCAACACCAGCCCCATACAACCCTCATGCAACACCAGTCCCGTACAACCCTCATGCAACACCAGATTCCTACAACCCTCATGCAACACCAGTCCCATGCAACCCTCAAACGATACCAGATTCGTGCAACCCTCAAGCAACACCAGTCCCATGCAAACCCTCCAGCGCAACCCTCATGCAACACCAGATTCATACAACCTTCAAGCACACCAGCCCCATGCAATACCAGATTCGCACAACCCTTAAGCAACACCAGCCCCATGCAAACTCATGCAACACCAGATTCATACAACCCTCATGCAACACCAGTCCCATGCAACCCTCATGCAACACCATATTCGTGCAACCCTCATGCAACACCAACGCCGTCCGTGCCATGGCGCTGCAACCTCGGGATCGCCATTAAGGGGAAAAGGGAGGGCGTGACTGATCGTTTAAGTGCATCGCAATTTTATTTTTATTTTTTCCCCTTTTTTCCTTTTTTTTTTGTCTTGTTTTTTTTTTCCTTTTTCCATTTTTTTTTTTTTTTTGTTTTTGTTTTTTGTTTTTTTGTTGTTTTGTTTCGTTTTGTTGTTGTTTTTGCTTTTTTCTCTCTCACTTTTTTATGTAGTGATGTAATAATGTCTGTAAAAGAGACAAGGCTGATGATGAGGTAGATAGATGAATTGAAGAATAAATATCAATGTTAAGAATGGACAGATAGACAGACTGGAAATCACACACACAAACAGACAAGACAGACAAATAGACAGATAAACAACCAAAACAAAGAGAAACAAACCATCAACACCCCCTCTCCCCCCCCCAAAAAAAAAAAAAAAAAAAAAAAACACGAAAAGCCAATAGCAAAGCGTGACGAGTCGAGGCGAAGTTGCCAACTAGCCAATTAAGTGCTTGTCACGGGACACTCGCAGTCAGCTGGAAGACACGGGAGGGAAAGGTCGCCAGATGCTGCGTGGGTAGTCTAGGGATGCTGAGGGCTAAGGGAGGGAAGGAGGGGTAGGCGACTCATCAGGACGCGGGGGAGGGAGGGAGGGAGGGATAGACGAGCAATCAGGACGCGGGGAGGGAGGGAGGGAGGGATAGGCGAACCTTTCAGGACGTGGGAGGGGGAAGGGATGGAGAAAA